GACTCAAATAAAGTTATCGAGTTTAACAGTAGGTAATTAAGTATGGGTTTTTCTATGTTAAAATAGTTACCGCGCCTTTTTTTCTTTTTTACAAATAATTCAGGAACACTTAGGTACGCATATAAAGAAACCATTGAAAACTTATCCCTACTAGTATGCAGCGATAAATGGAAAAATAGCCAATTACCCCTACCCGTATGGAATAAAAAGTTACATATATTCTAACCGATTGTAATAAATTCGCAGTTAACTCCAAGTATCTCTACCAGTTAGGATTGTGTCAGTAGGCATATATGGAACGGGTTTCTTTTTTGTACAGTGAGCACATCACTTCGTTTGTTTTATGGCGGTGACGAGGTTAACATCCCACTGCTGAGCTCTTGTGCCTGGCAAACAGGAAAGATGAGCTTTTAGTGCCGTCAACTTATTTTTTTATTAAAGTTGTTTATGAATTCGAAAAGTGTTACATTTTTAAGTACGGAACCATCTGTTTCTATTTTTTTTATTTATTGGTTGTAAATGTTATAATATATCTTTAGAAGTTATTCCCACCCGATTTAGTCACATTCGACAAAAGTATTGTCACCCTAATGAGAGAGATGGCAAAGAACAGTGACGTCATTCAAGGTCGATTTCTTGATATTCACTTTTTTGTTCGTTGTGCAGGCTCCATTTTGAGTATAAGCTTCTTGGTCGGGCCTGGGTTTTTTTCTTTGCAAAATTATTTATTATACACACATCAAAAGTGTCTAGGGATCAAGCATTTTTATGCGGATTTCTTGAGATTGAGATGTGGCTTTGTAATAAATTTATGATTTTATAAATTTATATGGATCCTTTTTGGTGCATTTCATAATTTGAATCAGGAACTGTGAATCAAATTCTAGTAAAAGATGAAAATCAGCTGTCAATATTTTCCCTATAAAAACATACAACGCATTGAAGACATTATTAGTGCTACTGTTTCCCTACTACTGATAAAAACCAACGTTATTATGGAGCGGCGACGTCATTTAAGCAGGGAAGAAATGCTCAGAGCCGTGGGAATGATAGAAGCTGGTTCCCGGCAACGTACTGTGGCTTTAGCTCTGAATACAAGTCAGAGTGTTATCAGTCGACTTTGGACACGATACCGAAGCACTGGTACCGTGGCTGAGCGCCATGGAGGACGGTATCGCTGCACCACACGGAGACAAGACCGATACATTCAAATCTTAACTCGAAGAGCTCCAACAATAACCGCCATGATGTTAGCCGTGAGGCTTCATCAATCTTCAGGGAACTTAATTAGCGACCAAACAGTCAGAAACCGCTTGCATGAAGTGAACCTTCATTCCCGAAGACCGCTACGGGTACCACCTATAGCAATGCACAATCGTAGGATTCGATATCAATGGGCTCTTGAACACAGAAATTGGGCAGAAGAACAATGGCGTTTCGTGTGCTTTTCTGATGAGTCTCGTTTTGGTATGAGACCGGATACAAGATGTATACGACACTGGAGAACCCCTGGACGCCAACAGCGATTAAAATCCTGCCAGAAAGTCCATCCTTATAGTGGTGGAACCATCATGGTATGGGCGGGTATTTGGATCGGCGGAAGAACTGAGTTGATTTGGATCAGAGGCAACCTCAACGCTCAAATTTATGCTGAGACGATTGTATCAGACGTCATCGTTCCTCTACAAGTGCAAATCGGTCCCTTATTTCAGTTAATGCATGATAATGCACGACCGCACACCGCAAGAGTTGTAAGACAGACTCTCGCCGCAGCTAACATCAATGTCCTGCCCTGGCCTGCTCAGTCGCCAGACTTGAACCCGATTGAGCATGCATGGGATATGCTACAGAGAAGAGCTCTGCCGAATATGGAGGGTATCCAGTCGCAAGAAGACCTTTTTTTGTTGTTGCAACGAACATGGGCGGCCATTCCACAGCGTGATTTGGATGAACTCATTTTGAGTATGCCAAACCGATGTTCTTGTGTTGTTAGTGTTCGCGGTAGAAATACGGATTATTAATTGTTTAAGTTACCCAATAAAATTTTAGAGAAAACTGTTATTTCAGTCTTTTTTTCGAACTTTTGTGTTAGTGGTTCAAATGTCAAAAATCCCTTTATTAGGAAAATGGCAAATTTCTTTATTAATGCAAAGGTGACTTGGTTTATCGTTACTGTGACAAACGAAAACACTTTATTTGATGAATCCTTAAAGAAAATTTTAATTAATATCAATCAGGAGAAAAGTTATTGCAAAAATATATGTTGATCCCTAGACACTTTTGATGTGTGTATATTATTCTTAGGAGCTCTGTGGCGCAAGTAGTTAGCGCATTCGGTCAGCGATCGTGAAAGTTCAGCAACTTCCGGATTGGCCGGTCATCGGATGGCTCCTCTGTGCTTCGGAAGGCACGTTAACCCGTTGGTCCCGGCTGCATCTGCAGTAGTTAGCACCCACCTATCCGCACTGGGTCCACGTCGTGAGTCATATGCCCTGATCTCATTCCATTCCATCATAAAGGGAGGAGTGTGCCCATCAGTTGGGACATTAAAAGGTTGATTACGATGATGATGAAATTTTACGAGAAAGGGAGGATTTCCGGGTTAAAAATTCGTGAAGTATGTCTCCTTGTTTCGCTATCGACTGAGCAAATATGTCTTAGGCTTCGTAGTATAACACAATCCGGACACGGATCGCGCGCAGACAAAGACACTTAACTATATATACTCGTATGTATGTATACTATAAATCTCTGCGGGATAAACGTTTGCAGTATCGAGTGGAATGAAGGGCGGATTCGAAGCGATGGGCCGATAATATACCTAACATTCAATACCATATATGTATATAAATATGACGTCGTTGAACACAAACGCACAATTTCTGTTCAAATTTTCGTGAGCGAACTAACATTTCACAGGTTTCATAATTTATTAATATTAGTACTTGGATTAAAAACAAAAAGGGAAGATACGGTACGGTCATACTAGCATCAAATAAAATATCATCATCATCAGCCTATTAATGTCCCCACTGCTGGGGCACACGCCTTCCCTATGGATGGAATAGGGAGAATGGGCCATGACCCACCACGCGGGCCCAGTGCGGATTGGCGGGTGCTAACGACTGCAGATGCATTCGGGACCAACGGCTTAACGTGCCTTCCGAAGCAAGGAGGAACTCAAGATAGAAGATTTTGGCCACCAAATATGCTCTGACTCAACTACATAAGCAACTCTCACACACACACACTTCTATAAATAAAAATTCAATCGAGCGAGCGAGACAGAACTGTAAGCTGTTTTGTTGTCCTTTTCTTGATAACAAATGGCGAAAAGTAAATAACATTCATGACAAAAATGACAAACAGTAAATTAAAAAAAAAATGGTTTAATATTTTTACGAAATAAAAGTGTTGCCGTGTTTTTTTATTTGATCTTCAACTATTTGTGTTCTTTATAAAAGGATCGAAGGAATTGTTTAATCTTTAGTTAAGGATTCCTTAAGAGATAGGTTTAAAGAATTTGGTATAATGACGGTCGCATCACAATACATTTACGAAAATTTATTACTTGTAAGAAAAAATATTAATTTGTTTCTTAAAAACAGTGATGTTCACACACTTAATACAAGAAACAAAAATAAACTAACTTTACCTGCTACTAGACTTCACAAAATCAATAATTCATTTAAAGGTCTTTGTGTTCGCTTATACAATAAAGTCCCAAGCAATATCCAGGAGTTAAGCATAAATAAATTCAAAGATAGTATAAAAAAGCACTTTGTAATAAGCTTAAAAAAGCTTATTACAAAGTGTCTGATTATATTACAGACAAAAATGCTTGGGTTTGAACTGTTCCAATCATTCCAACAGGTTTTCTATATTAAATAAATCATGATTGTATTGACGTTGTATCATTTGTAAATGTTGTTACATTATGCTTTTAATGTTGTGGAGTTTTTTTCGCTCGTTTTTCTCCGCAGCTAAAAAATATGTCCAATAACGAGTGGTAGGGAAAAAAAATGTTTGGACGATTCAAAAGTGTTGTACTATACATCCAATTTGAATAAAGATATATTGATTTCTGATTTATAACACAGATTATATGCAATAATGTTATATTGAGTGCACATGCAGCGTGTTTGAATGTCCAATTGTGACTAAAGCGTATTGTGGTCATGCACCACAATTTAAGCGGATCACTTTTGAGCCGCGAGTGCTGTATCTTCCCTTTTTGTTTTAGTCTAAGTATTCGTACCACGACATTGACCACGTGGAACTTGCAGATAACATACGAAATCTTAGTCAAAACATCTTCAAACATCAGAACGGGACCTGGGCATCTGAACACAAATATCTTAAAAACCACAGGCTTTTTAGAGTGGTCTCTGTATCCTCAGAGACCATCAGCCAGGTCTTGAAAAGTATCTCAGACACTCGTTCTATAATTATTACAAGGCACTACAAAATTCTACTAATTTTATTTAGAGTAATTTCATCTGGTCGCAGCTGACTTTGGTGGCGTGTTTACACGATAATGTAATATTGGTATATGTGGTGCTCAGTAGGCCTATTTACTAACCGGATTTTGATATACGGAAGTGGTAATCACCGAGCTATTTACCGATCCACTGCTGCTTTATTACAACGCCACTAAGATACTTGTCCTGAGAAGTATGAATGGATATGCAATTTTCTCTTTAATTACACATTGTAAAATTAAAAAAAATTTGGCAGTAGAAGGCCTGTGACTGTGCTGTGAAAACAAATTTTTAGAAACCAACTTCCTTTCGTATGGTAAGGACTTGGCGGATGGAGGGTTGTGCGAAAAAGAGTGTAAGATTTTTCCGCTAGTTGTTTCATAGCGTATTGTGTGTAGTTGTGTACCTACTTATACTTTTGCTAATTTTCGAGCTTAGTTCCACTTCACTTCCATCCACGACACTCACGTTTGCTTATTTTTTTTTAGGTTTAGATCCGCGCCTGAGTAGAATACTCACTCGCTCGAATTGTTTGACGTAGTGCTGGACCTTCCGTTAATAATGGGGTTCTTGGATGTGGGGCCCTTGTTCTGGCCCACTCGGCCGCGCACTACGAATGGACTGTAGTTTTCCGATAGCGACGGTGCTAAGTCTCGTAGTGTATGAAACATCTGGAAATTTAATTTAGAATTAACTTCCTACTATATTTGGGAAATTAATAAATATTCAAAAATATCTAACGCAGTAATGGAATCTGGAATCTGTTGCATTTTTTGGCGGTATTTCCAACGATATTAAATACCCTAGATACACCAACACGAACAAAATCGTGCCAGAAACCTGTCCAAAAGGTACATGGGACGTTCCACGGAGCTCCGTAAGATGATCGCGTAGTCAATTCAATATAAGGCATTATTTAAACATTGAAAGACACCTTGAATGCATGCTGTATAAGGTCTTAATTAAAACGCATGCGTCAAAGAGTTATGACAGTTCGAAATGCAAGCTCGTAAAATTTTACGACTCATTGCTATATGCGGAAGAATATAGACCTTATTTCTTTGATTTTACGCGCAATTTTGAATGCACTGTTAGCAATATAGCAGGTACGGACCGTGAGGAAAAAAGACGGCTATATAACCGACCATGCATTTCAATATCACAAATATTTTCTATTAAATCAGTTTATAGTAAGTATTATAGTTCATTCGCGTTAAGAAAATAGTGACTCATCAGTGCAACTGCAGGGTAAGGGTGTATTCATAATGGAGAAAAAATTAAACATTTTTTTTCAAAACATTAAATAAGTTTAATAGAAAAATAATAAAGTATCAATGATTTTAAACATGTTAAAATATTCCTATTAAGGTAATTTTTAATGTCAACTTAAACGCTATATTAGTAGAGTAACACATATTTGGATTAATCGTAATAAGTACTAAAATAAAAAAATACAAAATTGTCTTAAAACTAAGTACTTAAATCGCTAATCAGTATCGCTAGATTCTCCCGTTACATTTATTACGAATGAATTTTGTTCTGCATGTTCCATGACGTCATCCAAACCCCACATGGTATTTTCTTCGCGTATCACGTGGTCGCAGCATTTCTTCCACCGATTGGCGTCTACTAACGCGATTGCGTCATAAAATTTTTTTTTTACGTCACTCATTTTGAATGTAGTATTATTCGCAGCAATATAATTTTTTATTTGGGCCCACACCATTTCAATCGGATTTAATTTACAATGGTAAGGCGGCAGACGAAGAATTGTAATGCCATTGTTTTTAGCAGTCTCATCTACTAAATATTTATTATATTGTGGGGCGATTTCGGCGACTTTCAATAATAATTCTTTTTTCAAATAACTCATATCCATAGATATGTCTTTGTTTTGCAACCACTCTAGTATTTGCTGCTTATTCCAACTGGCCGTGGGTATTTTTTCAACTTTTACCGAATGGTAGGGAGCGTTATCCATGACAACCACACTTCCTGGTTCAAGCTTCGGTATTATACCATTGAACCAATTAAGGAATCTTTCACCATCCATTTCTTCATGATAATCTTTTGTAGATTTAGATTCAAAGACTAGTAAACCATCTTCCAGGAATCCTTTTTCGCTGCCAATGTGCAATATAATTAACCTTTTCCCTTTCCCTGTCGGAGCTTTTGGGCCGGTTGATAAGCCATCTTGGAAAGCTTGTCTTTTATTCTTGATTGTTGTATCCAACCACACTTTTGTTTTTACGTGTCCGGCGTTTACCCACGTTTCGTCGAGATAGTAAATGGTTTTATTAGCGTTTCTATATTCTTTTATTTGTCTTAAATATTTTCGCCTCCATAAAACAATATCTTCTCTTTCCACTAACAATTTTCTACTATCTTGTTTATTGAAGTCAAAACCAAGCTCGTGCAGTATTTTGTGAAGTGTTGTACATTTGAAAACAGGAATATCTTCATCAGCTTCGCAAAGTGTTATTATTTTGTCCAATGTTGGATACTCGTTATTTAAATATATAGAGTGTACTTTTCTCCTTATTGCACATTTGTCTAGTTCATCTAATTTATCGACCGTGGATAGTCGAGCTCTTTTTTTCACAGGTGATTTCAATGTATTCGTTTCTTTTTGTTCTTTTATAATTTTATAAACAGTGTTTTCGGACACACCGCATGCACTTGCAGTTTTAATTACTATGCTCTCCACAGTCTCATTTAAATCAATCTGTTTGAAATATTTATAAACATTGTAAATTACGCGTCTCTCTCCGCTATGTATAATTGATCCACTTTTATTTTTTTTAATAGGTGAGATATCCATTTTCCAAATTTAATTTTAAACAAGTAGTACGCAAAATACACAACCGATCAGTTCGAAGGTCTGACTTCAACTGAGCACTGTGAACTCGCCTTACTAATTTCTAGCGTTTTAATTGGCTAGGGGGCGTGGCTTGGCCGGCAGTCGGTGATGAGTCACTATTTTCTTAACGCGAATGAACTATAGAACAAAATTTGTTTCAAAAGCGTTAAATTGAGTGGTGTTCATGCACTTCTTGATTGGACACATTTTGAGCGCACGTGGTGTATCTAGGGTATTTAATATCGTTGGGTATTTCTCACATATTTTTATACCTACTTTTAGTGAATGTTTGAATGTAAAGGATAGGAATTTGGGCCATGTAGACCAGTATTCTAAGGGATAACTTTAGATTCTAAGCTTCAATGGGGCCCACATATTGATAAATTGTCAAATAGACTTAACTCTGTAGCATGTTTGCGCTGCAGAAGAGACCTATTCGATCAATTTATAATCTTAAAGTTAAAGAATCATTAAGAGATAAGTTTAAAGAATCTCTTATCTATTAGACAAGTCCGTCCGTCCGTCTGTGGTGCTGTTTCAGCGGCCAAACCGTAAGAGATAGATAAAGAGAATATTTAAGTTATAAGTTAAGAATAGTCTGATAAGACTACAAACCGGATTTGAGTAACGTAGGTAGCACTTCCGGTTTTCGAGAAATCACAAATTTCAAACGAAACCACACAAAATCTCCGAAGTTCTCAATTAATTAAATACATTTTTTTTTAAAATCAGGTTTTGGTGAACATTTGGTTCACTGGTTAGTTTGTAATAATGACGGTCGCATCACAATACATCTACGAAAATTTATTACGTGTAAGAAAAAATATTAATTTGTTTCTTAAAAACAGTGATGTTCACACACATAATACAAGAAACAAAAATAAACTAACTTTACCTGCTACTACTAACTTCACAAAATCAATAATTGATTAAAAGGTCTTTTGTTTGCTTATACAATGAAGTCCCAAGGCATATCCAAGAGGTAACCATAAATAAATTTAAAGATAGTATAAAAAAAGCACTTATTAAAAAACCTTATTACAAAGTGTCTGATTATATTACAGACAAAAATGCTTGGGTTGTACTGTTCCAATAATTCCAACAGGTTTTCTATATCATAATTGTATTGACGTTGTAACAACATAATGATTTGTAAATGTTGTTACATTAGACTTTTAAATGTTGTGAAGTTTTTTTGGCTCGTTTATCTCCGCAGCTAAAAAAATGACCACAACGAGTGTTAGGGAAAAAAAATTTTGGATGATTCAAAAGAGTTGTACTTACTATACATCCAATTTGAATAAAGATATATTGATTTCTGATTTCTGAAGTGCGTTCACGCCAAAAATTGTTGTTGGGGGACATAAGCTTTGAATATAGTGTTCTGTGGATATCGGTGTTAACAATGATGATTAAGATGTAATTCCTTTTGAATTATGTAGGTGATAAAAATATTACACTTAAGTACATAAAAATTAGAACCGTCTCATGAGTCTCATCTGTGTCTATGGCAAAAGTAATTGCAATTGACTTAGCGGTTTAGGTGTTAAATATAACAAACTAACTAACAAGCAAACAATAAAACTCGTTTTCACATCTATACATATATATAATAAAATGGTAGGAAAGTCATAACTGTACATTAAATATTTTTTTAAAAGAATACTTGGGGTGTGGATCTACAATCGATACCGAAGCCAAAAATATAGTTTTTAGAATTTTTGTCTGTATGTATGTCCAGGACAAAGCTCAAAAAGTAAACTCAAACTGATTTGCTTCTTGGCACGAATATTATTAAGAAGTCGGGTCAACATATAGGCTTCTTAATGTCACGCTATCACCTACGGGGAACGAGCAGTGAACCTTTATTTCTAACTAACTCCACGCGTACGAAGTCGCGGGCGGCCGCTGGCTTATAATATTAGTGATTACTTTAAACTCGAAGCATTCGGAGAGCACGGTGTACTCGAAGGGGCGGTTGTAGTCGTGGTAGGGGTCGATCATCTCGAGCGAGCTGTCCCCTTGAACACCTATGATCTCGCAGCACAACTTCCTCATCTCGTTGCAGGCAACCGGCAGGTGATGGACCACGTCGTCGTCCCACCATTTTGTTAGAGACCTGTGTTCCGTGTTATAATATTATTGGTAGTACCTTATCGAATTCGTAGGAACCTATTTATTGGCCGTGATCATTATTTAGTACGATGATGTAATACCAATTTGTAAAGCTGCTGATTTTTAAAAAAATGTTATCGGATTTCTGTACAACACCTACGTCACTTAGCGGTTTAAGCGTGAAGAGATAAGAACTGACAGACACACTTTCGCATTTATATTATTAGTATAGATTAGTATGGATAATTTCTGTCAAATGGCACACAAATACACACATCGGATCACAACTAGAGTTGTAAATGCTACGTAACCTATCACTGCTTACCTTAGTCTACCGGTAAACTATGGTGGACTACAGTAGACTACCGATTTATCCTGTACATTAAGTATGTAGATTTTAAATAAAATAATTTAATACATTTATTTTTGTTTTTGTAAAAATGGCAGCTCATTGCTCACCGAGGGGAGAAAGTGACCGAAGTGAAATTTTCTAATACATAAGTTGGACGACTATTACTCTTAAACATACTGATCTATCATAACCTTACAATTTTAACAATAATAATTTTGTTAGCCAATACTTATATTCTAATTTTATGTAAGCCACTCTAAATATTATTTCAGCATGGTGGTTTTTTTTAGCATCTAAAGGAGATGGTAAATCGTGCGCCCGATGTAACCATAATGTAATAAAATGAGATTTGTTCTAAAAATGGAGCATATTTCTTTATTTCAAAATAAATATATAACAGCAAAATTTTCTTTCAGTGATTGGAGGAATATGAAAACTAAAATGGCATTACACGCATGCTCAGACGATCAAAGAAACAGATCTCGCGGGGAGGAAGTATACGATACCTGATGGAATCACAATCCCAGAGAAGTGGACTGTAGGTGCTAGTTGTAATATAAAGAGGCGGATGACGGATTCTAGGATATTTAAACAGCAGTAATATACGAAAAAATAAATTAACACTTTCGATAGTGTCGCGGCGGGCGGTATTCGAGGACTTTCTGTTGCGATGCGGAATGCGCGACTGTTCTATTTTCTTCCGGCCGTCAGCGGCAGCGTCCGTCGCCTGTCGCGGGCGAACATTTTGCGTCTTCGTTTCGTTAGGAACAGTGCTTGAGGGAGAAGGATCGATTGGATGTATAGATTATGTAACAGGATCGAAAAGATGCGGTCAATTCGAGAAACGAATGGCGCGAAATGGAAATTTATAAATTATAATATATTTGGCGTTACCAGTAACATTAAACTGTATTGTCTGACGTTCTAATGACGGACGGTTGACATCACATACCCGTGAGACGCCATGACGTGCAGAGAAACGTTTCCGCAGCAACTTGAAAATTGACACTTTTTATGGACTCCATAAACATTAGTTAATAACATGAGATCATTTTCCAAAACTTGTCTAATACCCCATTGTTTCATACTGTAAGTACTCAGCGAGTTGCTGCCGGAAGACTGCCATTCAGGTATGAATCGGACCATAGAGCATCTTTTTATAATCAGATTTTAGAGCGAAAAGTTCACTGTGGCATAATTAAGTAAGGCATAATAAGAAATGAAGTACTAACTCACTTATTTCTAGGTATAAACACCATAGCTTCAGGATGATGTAAGTAATGGTCGTTTGGGAACTCCCATATTTGAGGCTTCTGCAGCTCTGGAATGAAGAGTCCCAGAAACAGATTCATACTGTTCTGTTTTTCGGCATCCGAAAAAGTGTTGGAGTAGTAGCGGCTGAGCGTCTGCATGATGTCGTTGCCGTGTGATGCCCACGGTGCAGTTTTACGATAAGTTTTAATCCTAGAAAACATTCGAAAAAAAAATATTACCATTAGGTATGCTATTATAGTAGATAAATCCTTATTATTTTCTAAAAGGAATGATTAGGATATACTACTTTCATATTAAGATAAAGCAAATACGAATAACTATGTGAAGAAAGTTTATGTGTAAAGTTTATACAAATTATCTTTATCTGCCTCATTAATACTCGGACGACATGCATTCGAAATCAATTCAATTACTCACTTGATTGTACCTTACAGTAACTGCAATTCTATGTCGTATTTAATAAAACTAAGGGCTATATTTCATCGGGACGATATGGCGGTACAACCAGTCGTGGTGTCCTTAAGCTACCAAACTAGTCAGCATACAGACACCAGAGAGGACACACCACACTGAGACAGTATCAAAATGAACCTCGAAAAGATAGCACTACTGCTGTATGTACGTAAGAAAAGAGAGTTCAAGAGAAAAAAGAAGAAACGACGGCTAGCTTACGGACACCACGGTGGCACGACATGTTACGCTGCCGTGGTGACCCGGTGAAATAAAGTCCATAGTAATTAGTGGTGGCGCGACCACTAACATTCTGTGCATGCGTCGGAGCTGGTCGCGCTGCAAAATTGGTTGCACAACCAAACGGACTTTAGGTGAGTAACTCTCTGTACAGCTGTATACATTTTGTTGGTAGCGGCGACAGGTTGCGCTGCCATGGTATCCCAGTGAAATACACACGCGGCACCAAAACAAGTTCGTTCCAGCAAATTCCGGGAGAATCAACCAAAAATATTAAGCAGAAATGGTAGAGGCAGACGGAGTACAAAACTCCTGTCTGTCCACTAGTCCATTTGACCCAGTCCTATAATGGAAATGGTGGGTTGATTATGTCCCAGTAGTCCCATGCGACATCTGACACTACACTACTTTAAAAAATAATATTAATAAAAGTTGTCCCATGGGACTAGTAGGACATAATCATCCCACCTGTCCCATCATGGGACTAGTGGGACGAAAAACGAAGCACGGATAGCATATTCAAAATATTAAATCCCAAACGACATCGACGAAATATGCCCCAGCATGCACAAACAAATGTTCTTCACTATTATTTTTTTACTTTATTAGCAATTAATCATGGTAAACGGACATTCTGTGAAAACAAAAAGATAATTAGTTCTGTAACTACTACACATTATGCTGTCATGTCATCCTTAAGAGTCTTCCTAAAAGAATGAGATTCAAACAATGTTTTCAATTAAGCGTTTTCTTAATTCAATTCTATCCCAACCATTTTGTAATAGATAGCTTAAAGCAAGTTTTGAAATGCTGAATAGGAAACCTGTTGCAACAATAGTTGTTTTGTTTTGAATGTGAGTATTATGCGTCGAAGCCCTGGTTAATATTCTGTGCAATCGGTATATTTCATATGAAAATCATATTTCTGTACAATTAAACAAGTTTTCATCCCACCACCTCGGAAAGTGTAATTTTGCGCTTCGAAATCTGGCTGGAAAATTCTATTTTATTCGCTTGAGCGGCAAAGTAGATTTGAATTTAGAACATCACATATAATGAGTACTCAATATAATTGTAAATTCAAAACGTCATTAAACCTATTTAATGTAACCTCTATGGTGCCAAATTTATGATTAGAACTTTTTAAATTGTGAAAAATTTTAAATTTGGAACCTTCTTGGTTTCTTTGTTTTATTTGCGTGCTTCGCGCCATTCTAGTTTTTCACGTTTTATTGCTTAAATATTTTGTCATTATAAATTGTTTTCTTTTTCATTTTGTCATTTCCTCGCTGAGGTGGGATGAAAAGTTACGTATTGCACTCGAGTGGAAAGATTTTTCACCTTGTGCTCGTTTGTTTCCCTCGCTGACGCTCAGGATTCTAATTTAGAATCACTCGCTGCGCTCGTGATTCAACTTTAGAATCCTTCGCTTGCTCGGTCATCCAAATCGAGCACGCGGTTAAAAAGGAACTTTCCACTCTTGTATAATAAATAACTATTTTTGTCTAGCACTAGAAGAAAAAATGTACTACAGATTAGATGTATATTTTTTAATTATTATTAGCACTTAGCACTAGTTTTGTTATAATATACTATATATATATATATATATATATATATATATATATATATATATATATATATATATATATATATGACATAAATAAAACAATTGAATCGATAATAACGTGGCTTAATGATAACAATTTAAAAATCAATATTAACAAAACACATTATATGAACTACGGTTACAATCAGACATTGAATGTACATTACGGGAATCATTCTATTAAAAAAACAAGCAGTGCTACTTTTCTGTGCATTGAGCTTGACCAAAAAATTGATTGGAAATTACATGTAGACAAGGTATGCAATAAAATAAATAGATTTGCTTATGCACTTTTTAAACTTACTAAAACAGCAACTAAAATTACGGCTCTAACAGCATATTTTGCTTATGTGGAATCGGTCTTGCGATATGGGCTTATTGTTTGGGGAAATAGTACGGACATACAAAGGGTATTTGTAGCACAGAAAAAGTGCATAAGGGCAATATGCGGGAGTGCACCCGATATGTCATGGAAACCATTTTACAAACTCCTTAATATTTTACCTTTGCCATGCCTCTATATCCTGGAGATATCTAAGTTCGTAAAGTTAAATCAAAATTACTTTAAAACTGCCCGTGAGATAATTCCTACAAATACAAGACATTGTAAAAGGTTAGTCATTGATACAATCCCGAAAAGCACACGTTTTAAAAAGAACTGTTACTATATGTGCATTCAAATTTTTAATAATATTCCACATTCATTAAGAGATTTGCCTTTCAGTAGAATTTAAAATAACACTACATAGATGGCTCATTGAACGTAAATTCTACTCGGTCCAGGAATTCTTGAATTATAATAGCTAATATATAAATAATAGTAATTTTGGTGGATGATATTTTGAGTGACATATACTGATTTAGTTATATTTTTGATTCACATTTTAATATGACCTGATTTTAATCGAATTTTTATATTTTTGACTATCTATTTTGTGACCTGTTAAGTAACTTTTATTGAATTATGTGACATAGTATTAATTAATTTGAAAAAAACTTATGTAAATTTGCATGCTACGATCTATAGCTGAATAGGTGAAACCTACAGTATAGTTATGTGTAACTATTTATGACCTTGATTACCCTGTTCAAACGCAAATAAATAATTATTCTATTCTATATTATTTAATTGATGTAAATAATTTGAAATGTGATAAGTTATTTGCTGTGCATTTAAAAATATCCCACAACAAAATATAGAAACAGGTAAATGGAAAGCCTTTTAACATTTCATTTGAAAAGAAATCTATTATTAAACATGATATTATTATTATTACCTACCTAGGTATAGGTATTATAGGTGTCAACTGCCAACACAACACTCATAAATCAAAATGAATATGAGCATTTATTATTTTTATTATTAATTGCATTTTATATAATGATTTAATTCATATTATTTAAGTGCTTACATAGAGTAAAAAATAAATATATTCAGAATATGTAAAGTGTACTTAATATCGTTTTCGATTAAGTTAAGTATAATAATTATAACCTCAAAATATAATACATTCTGTAGTAGGCCACAGTTCCTTAAGTTGTCCGTATTTCAACAAATGCCTGATGAGAGTTAATAAATGATTCCGAATACAACTAGCATTTTCTCATTTCTGTGCGTTCTGGGGCATTCTATGTATGGGGAACGAGCAATGTCCTTTGGGTTTTTCCTCGATTCTGGGTGATTGCAGTTGGTTATAATCCAAGCACAAGATACTGTGCATGCACAACCTCTGAAACAAGTATTTAATGGGAATGAATTTAACTCTAATTAATATTCACCGATGCACTAGTTGTGATCCTCCGTATTGTAACGCCAATGTGTCTCCGTGATCTTCGTATAACCCTTCCAGGAGACGGACACAATCAGAGTCGAATTCTATGACGGGCTCCCCGATCAAACCAAGAGCATATAGCTGCAAATATAAAATTTGACACGTTTATTTAAAACGAAACAGTCAAAAGACAGAAGAATGTAATGTAATGTTTACCATAGATGTAGTGTGTTTTAAATATAAGTATTATCATTATTTTATTTTAATTTATAGAACAAAATTTACTATTTGACGTTTTTATTTTTATTACTATTTTTTTTATTCTTTTATTTAAAATCACTCGCATTTTGTAGTTCGTACAAAATGCGAGTATGTATAGCCGCATTTTATTTGGCGTTTCGGATATCACTAGGCGCTGGCTGAAAATCAGCGCTGCTGTGGTATTGCGGAAGTACTACCACAATAGCATAGCTGAGACAGCGACCTGTTGCTCTGCACAGCAGCACCTGAATTTAGTTTTCTTGTTTTTATTTGTGGTTATGTTTTTTTTATATATCTGTTTTGTTATTAATGCATCATACCTACCTAGGCTGTGTAACCAATAAATGATTTTCTCTCTTTCTTTCTTTCAAGAATGGAGTGAGGTTTTCTGTCTAACTAAAAAGTAAAACTGGGCAGATGAGAGAGACGGAGCAATGGTGTCGTGCGCATAGTTGTAAAACAGCGTTTGTTATAGAATAGTTATCCAAAGCAGCCGATAATAACGTTTAGACTGCGGCTGACAACCGGCTGCTTATCCGCCTCAATACCAAAAGAGGTGTTACAAGTTTTACAGTTCCCGAGTCGAAAGATCGAGATCGAGAGATCGAGGCAGTCCACACAGTTGACGACACAAATCTACGTGTAATAATGTGACCGTAGCATTCAAGTTATGGTCGCGTCGCAAGCGCGCAGCTCGTTATAAAACATTGCATGCCGCAGCACCTATTAGGACATGTACTTACTTACTTGGTGTGCCAGTAACGCATTTCCCGATGGCGAACTGCGCGGTGTTGGTGCTGTCGAGGCAGTCCACGCAGTTAACAACACGAATCTACGTGCATGTGGCCGTAGAATTCGAGTTATAGTCGCGTTTCAGGCGCCCAGCTCGCTGTATAAGAAGTTTGCTGGAGCACCTATTATGACAGGTACTTACTTGGTGTGCCAGCACGCATTTTCCAATGGCGAACTGCGCGGTGTTGGTGCGATCGAGACAGTCCACGCAGTTGACGCGCGCCAGCCCGGTCTGCAGGCGGCCCGTCTGGTGCCCGTCCGCTCCCCCACTACCCGACTCGCTACTCGCATTGCAGCTCAAGAATAAGCCCGTCCGTCGAACTACGCTACCCGCTATAGCTGTCAACCTTCAATGTCCAACGATACATGGTAATTAGTGACATAAAAAAGTTCGACGCGAGCTTAAAAAAAATTGCCTTGATTGACGACCTCCGTGGCAGATCCGCTGAATTCGAATCCCGATGGGGGCAAATGTTAGAATACGAGCATTTCGACCCGTCTGGCTTCAATAATTGTCGTAAACGCCAAAACGGACATTTTACACGTGAAGCAAAAAAAAACGAAAGACTAAACCGAGAGATATATTTTTACCTTTTTTGGCTATATTGATGATTCTTACATCAAAATATATATTATTTAAAGTTGAAATAGGCAGATCGATGGAGCGAGAAAAAAACTCATTTTGACCCAAAGAGACCAGAGGGGTTTGTACCTTAGTCATGCATGTTTAAATATTATATTTCTAGATAAAATATACGTATATATGTATCAGTATATGTATTCTATCCGTTACCCTGGCGTCCCATAACACAAGCCCTATTCTTACTTTACTTAAACTGACACCCACGCAAGAAAACGGCGGGTAAAAATTTCATTGGTGTAATTGACTACACTCACATTCGTACACGGTTGAGCCATGATAATGCTTAGTACTAGCCCAGCAGATAGTTGTGGGCGGCTAGCCGCGCGCGATTGCTATTTATTCAGGTAATCATATAGAAATTTCCATTGACGAGCCCGCGATTTGGCAGTCGCGACTGCAAAACAACACGCGACTCAACATCTACGCATAACTATTATGCAATACCCACTGCGCGGCTGGTCGCGTAACTCATTATGAACGAATAAAATGCACCAATGGATGTATTCAAAATTTATCAAGTAGAGACATGTTATTTCTTCTATATATAGGTATTTTGAAAATTAACTTGTTTGGTAGTAGACTAAGAGTCGCAGGCGACCAGTCACGCACGCAGTTGCTACAAAGCTAGGCGCTAGCGCCTGCGGTCGCACGCGATAGTCGCTTAGTGGAAATAGCTTCTAATAGCTCAGAAAAGTGAGGGTCTTGTCTAAAAGGGATACTCTGATCACAGAATAGAGTCCGTGGAGTGTTTACTTCATCACCCAATCTCTTACAAAACACTTAAAAACAGAGCGCTTTACATTATATACATGCAACTCTATCTTTAGAAATTCGAATTGTTAACTTACTTGTCTAAAACTTTAGCATCTGCACCTTTGTTCATCCTAGCCATATCTAAATGTATGTACTGTATGGCATGTTCGGGTGACAGAAACTGATTTAAATATTTAATTGCATTGCTAATAACATCTGTCAGCAGTGATTCATGTTTCTTTTTCTCTCTTTTCTTTACCAAGTTGACAAACATTATGGGACTTCCATATCTTCGCATGAGATTGTTAAGGTGTTTTCCTGGGATTTCAGCAAAAGGGTCGCTGAGATCGATTGAAATTGCTGGTTTCGGTACCATTTTGGATACATCTTGAGACCAGTAGCTTGGTATAGAACCTCTCATTTGTACAAATGCACTGAATCTGCAGATAATAATAATATTCACTTATTAATATTCTGTGACATAGATATAAAACATGATAAAAAATGAATTGTTTTAATGGTTACAACATCTTCACTAATTATATAAAATTTAAATCAGACACAGTTTGTTTATTAATTGGTCAACTAATTTTTAAATAAGTATGAAACATAATTTTAGTTTTTTACCTTCCAGATTTAAAAGATGAAACCATTGAATCGTGTACAATCTGTTCTGTTTCTACTTCATTGGCAACATCCCCATGCATATTAGCCCCTCTCTTCAAGAACCTAGTACCAGCATATCTGTTACTTCTTCTTGCTATGAGGGTGAGATAAACAGGTCGACCAAAAATATTAAGATTGCTCTGCTCTATGAATCCATGGACAATATAGAGGATCCAGTCAGGGTGGAGGTGTGAGTGTACTGCAGACAGTAGATGGCTGTTCCACACATAACGCCATTCTGGCACCGATCTCACACCAATGTCCAACTTTTGTGATGAAAGTCTAAAATAGAAATATCTTTCTTATTATAATAAGTCACCTTGCCAGGATTTATTAAGGATATCCGTGTACCAGAGAATGTTACCACTACTTGACAAACTTCGGAAATACAACTACGACACGGAGAGGAGGTCAAGTGCAACCTGCCTGATGCAACAATAACGTTACCATAACGCGATGATATCCCAGCAGGATCTCTCGCCCCATTACCCGTAACAATTATAATTTATATATGACATGAACCACCTGATATCATACCGGTTGTGGCACGTCCTAGGATACAAGACTTTGAGTTCCCAGATGGGGATAGCGAAGCGGCGAGACAGAATATTCCTAGAACTGATGGCCAGAGTCAATACAGTTTTTTTAAGTAGGAAACTGCTTCAAGATGCTCGATATTGAAAGGACAACATCAGGGTCACGGAACTACTTCATGCCAAAGCACATACCTAATAATGTCGCTTATGTTAGGGTAGTAAAACACACACTCGATATCACCATATAAAACTAGAAGCAAAACCAAATACATAGCAGTTCTGCTTTTAGATCAACTAGTGCAGGCCAGAACAACTCGTTCCAAAATTGAACTTACTTAACTGCAGTAAGTTCTATTTTGGAACAAGTAACTAAGGCTGCACTAACAGGCTCCTATCAAACTTAGCTAGGAAGGGCGGGCAACTCGAGCAGTGAAGGTGAACTTTGATGCACATTTTAAAGGGGGCTTCCTTAAACCTACACCTCGGAGCCATAAGTAAGTTTATATGTAGTTATAACATTTTTCTAATTTTCAAATTATTTTATTGCCTCTCCTGAAAAATTTGCTTTTGACGGTTACGGTAATTCTACAAGTGACATTTTATTCATTTAAAAATTGAAAAGTATCATGAAAACTGTATATGAAACATGTAATCTTCATATTATAAACATCAAGAAGGGACATTGGGCCTGATTCTGAGATTAATGTCTAAACTTAAAACTAAATTTGGCCTTGACAACAGTCTATCCTCTTCCGTCCATCCTTTTCGTTCTTTAAAGATCATGATATGGAAATACTTTTGTCAAATTTAGTTTTAGGGAATCATGCCAGCAGGCCTAATTCTCTAAACTTAAATCTTTTAGATTTAAGACAACAGCCTCTCCTTTTCATTCTGTATAGAGTATGACAAGGATACATTCCTATCAAATTTAAATTTAGGTTTGCAGAATCATGCCGGTGCTCATTATCAGCAGATGAAATTAGTTTGAAATATATTCATTTCTATGGCCAGACTCAGTTCTATCAGATTACATGATTTATCTATTAAGGTCAATATCATATTTACCCAGGTCTTTCAGGTCTTTTTTCTAGTTGCTTTTTCCAAGTTTCAAATATGTCTTCATTATCATCCATCTGTTGACAAATGCATTGCAGTTCCTCGTTTTCAATGTCTGAGGTGGACTTAGTTTGATAAACAGCAGCAGTGACAGGTTTAGGGAACAGAACTGGTGCTAATTGCCTCGGTGGCGCCATATTCATTTGCAAAGTGTGTGTAATGTCATAACTGTAACTATAATAAAAGTTGGTAGATAAGTCTACTGCTTGGAACATCTTTAAATATCTTTGCTCATCTGGATTCTGTGGTTTGCTCCCATCACTCGGTATGTATATGGTGGCAGTGTCTTCAATTTTATATATAGAATGATAACCTATGACAGCAATTTTTCTACGCTTTGTCACCAATATAATGTAATATCCTTCCAAAAATCTTATAAACCCTGAAAAGTTAATTACATATGACAAGTATTATGTTAAACTTAGTAAATAATTTATGATGTATAAACAGAAAATCATCAGACAAGGATAATAAGCTATAAAACCACTCAACAGTCTATGGATAGTTGTGCAAGTATAAAGAAATACAGATTTACTGTCTGCCTGTGAATATTTTAGTATCCCAACTTAACTTTGATTGGCCATAGGAATAAGTTAAAAATGCATAAATTTAAGCTACCTGAACTATTTTGGGTCTTTGTTGCCTTGTCTTGGAGCTAATTAACCTATTTTGATCATAGATTTTGTATAACCACCACCACATTGAGTGACACTGAGCACAAGTTCTAATTTTCTTTTTGCTGGATTTGGGCTGCATGGTTAATAGAATGAAGAAATAAAATAACTTTACCTACAATACCAAATGCAGAAACTATTTTATTGAAACCAGAAGTCCGGCTTCCTCTGTTGCCAAAGCCAATCATGTTCAGCAGCTGGTGTATCTCCTGCTTGTTGTATTCAACTTTATCATCTACTAATATCAGCTCTCTTGCATCAGTTCTATCGATTTTCAGTACCCGAAATCGAGTTTGCGTGTTATTAGAACCAATTAAATAAAACCGCTGGAACAAAAAACATGAATTTTCATAAAGGTAAGTATAAGTAGAAAGAAAATGTGAGTAGTAGATGAAATTTGCTTTTGTTCTCTGAAATTAATGAATACTTATAAAAAACCTCACAGCTTTAGTTTCGTAGAGAGCTATCCTCTGAATAGAACTTATGATTGGATGAAACATTACACTTTCTTTCGACATTTTAAAATAATTTATACTGCGACACGTTCGTTAGTTACATTTAGTTGTATTTACACGTTAAAGTTATTAATACTTCTGTTTTTGGATAGATAAATAAGATAAGTTTAATTTCCATCTACAAAAATGAATGTAAACAAACTCGGTAAATTGTCAAGTGTCAATCACTGTTTTTTTTTTGTTAAATTCTCCCTTTTCAGGGAAGGCAAGGGGAACAATGCCCATACAGCCTAGTCTAAAGTTAAATTATTCTGTTTTTCTTTTTACATTAGAATGTCGGTGTGACGCATTCTAATGTTTCTTGAAGTATTTGGCACGAAATGTATCGAGCTGGCTTTTTCGATAAGCTTCTGTGAGGTAGTCAATACTACAATAAAAGTCTCACGTCCACTTGACCGGAATAGCGTATATTTTGAAGATTCTACTATTTCTTCAGTTACGCAGACAGTTGTAACACAAAATCACACCAATTTTATTTCAGAATATCCACTATGAATGAATTTAAGAATAATTAAAATAAGACGCTAACCACACTCGATGAAATCCCGCCAAAAACCTCTCACTGTTTTTTTTAACATTCTCCCTTTTAGGGAAAGCATAGGGAACAATGCCCATACAGTCTAGTCTTAAATTTTATAAATCTTCTTTTTTTACATTATAATGTCGGTGTAACGCATTCTAATATTTCTTGGAGTTTTGGCATGAAATTTATCGAGTTAGCTTTTATGATAAGCTTCTGTGGGGTAGTCAGCACAAAAATAAAGTTTTCACGTCCACTTGATCGGAATAGCGTATAATTGTAAAGATTCCACAATTTTTTTAGTTGCGCAGACGGTTGTAACACATAATCACATCAATTTTATTCCAAAATATCCACTATGAACGAATTATAAAATAATTAAAATAAGAAGCTGCTACGACAGCGCCATCTAGTCACTTTAGGTGAATCTAGATGGCTTGCAAACTTCGGATAATGTGTCTAAGTTTTGACATTTGGAAACTAGATGGCGTTACCGAAAATGTATGATTTAGGCAGAAAATTCTTCTTCTTCTTTTTGGGAAATGGCGGTGCACTTTTGTGGATTTGCCAAAGATAATAAATAGTGGGAGTTTTTTCCTTAATTACTGAAAGCAAGGCACCTCTGTCTACGGAGTTGAAGGCGTTCTTGACATCCACCTTCAGCACCAACTCCGCAGCGTCAAGCGATAGAAAGGTGCGAAGAGCATGAAGCAGCCGTTCATTGGTGCTGAAGGTGGATGTCAAGAACGCCTTCAACTCCGCAGACAGAGGTGCCTTGCTTTCAGTAATTAAGGAAAATTACTAAAATACGACGAAATGTGGAGCCAACAGCTATAGGGCGGATACCGCCGTCGTTTTTTCTTTAGAGCGATTAGGTTGGCCCCGTAAAGGATCTCGACAATGTCTTTAGGTACTTCGCCGGATAGAATTAAGTTTACCAAAATAGTGATGTTATTTAATAATAATCTGCCAGCGTCACCGACTGAGATTGAAACTAGGTCTTTTAAATGTTGTGGTGACAAACCATCTAGACCGCTCGCTGGCAGAGCCACTTTTGAAGGAGAATATTGCGGCTGAGATGTCAGTGGCTTATTAGGTAAACAAGTGTTGTATCAGGTGGCGGAGGAAGGAAAAGAGCCGGTGCTGGAGGTGGGTGCTTGTCTTCAAGAGCACTAAGAGTCTCCTGGCAGTTGACGGCGACGACATCGTGGCTGAACAGTAGGTTGGCGGCTCCACTGAAATCGCCATCGCTAATTTTTGACTCAATTAATTTTATAGAATTATTAGAATTTGGAGGCCGTGAGGGATGAATTACTAAAGAATGCAGTGAAGGATGTGAAATATATAATAATAACAAATTCTTACAAAGATCACTTATATACTAATTATTATTAATAACAAAGACATGCGTAAAGTTACCGATCATATATTTATTTTTGTTTTAGAATTTGTGTTACATTAAGTTTCGAGTCTTATGTTTCTACCAACTGTCACATGCTTAACATTTACATGCATTAAATAGAACTAGTTTTTCACGGGTTAATGCATGAAACTTTATTTATTTATTGACGTTCGACGTAACCTAAGAAACAAATATTTACATGCATGTCATGTCGCATCAGCCTCCAGAAATCCTTGTTTGATCTTCGCCAGTTATTGACATCTAATTTCCGACTATATTTGTTGAGGAGTTTGCACAAACTAGGTATTCGGGAATTAGCGCCTAGGACAGTTCTACGCAAGGTTGGGACCAGTGGTTTAACATCGAGCCGTGGGTTTCTACGGGGAACGTTGAATTTTATTTTTCCTAGCAGTTGGTAACATTCAATTTTATTCCTGAGAAGTTTGTATAGAAACTGCAGATCCAACAAGTCGCGTTGCTTATTTAATGTCATCATATTGAAGTCTATCACTATAATTTCTAATCCTATTATCAATTCCCTAAGAGCGCGCCAACTACCACAGAAACCTCTTTTGAAGTCTTTCCAACCTTAGATTATGCGTTGAAAATGTGGAGGCCAGACTACACTGCAATATTGCAAGAGTACTTCGAACAAAGTAGTTATACAGTAATTTTTTAGTGTTAGTTTTGCGAAATAATTTTTCATTTCTCATAATGAAACCCAACATTTTGAAACCTTTCTTAATTATGTGATCCATGTGCAAACCAAATGTGAGCTTACTGTCATTTAAAACACCTAGATCTTTAATATGGTGGACTTCCTGAATTAACTCGCCTGACACCGTGTAAGAGGAAGGAACACATTTGCGATTGCGAGAAAATCTCATGTAAAAGCATTTTTGGATATTGAGACTCATGTTATTGTTGATGCACCATTCCGAAAGTCTATCAATATTAACTTGGAGCAACAGAGTATCATTTTTAGAATCAATCGGTCTTGCAATTTTTAGATCATCAGCATATATGAACGGGTAAGAGTTCTGGAAGCTTTCTGAAATGTCATTAATGAAGAAATTAAATAAGATGGCCCCAATATGAGAGCCCTGAGGCACGCCAGATGTTATTACGTGTTCACTCGACCTCGCCCCATTCATAATTTAAAAATGGTTCCGCTATGCCATAAACTGAAAGTTTATGGACTAAGATGCTATGTGTGACACAGTCAAATGCCATACATAAGTCTGCGTATATAACATCTATTTGTTTACGAGAGTTTATTGAGAGTTTAGAGCCATTACAAAACCATGCTGATTTTGAGATATTAAATGTTTCATATGGTTTTGTAAAATTGGACACAGAAGACTCAAAAATTTTTCGAGAAAGCACTCAATATAGTTAGATGTCTATAATTTTTGACTAAGGTTCTGTCGCCTTGCTTATGTATGGGAACCACCTTTGCTTTCTTCCACACACCAGGAAATGTGCCCGTTTTTAAGGATCTATCAAATATTTGACTTAATGGATCCACCAAATTAGATGCACATTCACTTATGAAAAATGGCGGAATCTCGTCCGGACCTGGTTCCTTGTTTTTATCTATCTTTTTTAACTTTGACTCTATTTGGTGCCTGTCAAGTGCAATGTTTGAAAGATATTCACAAGAGACGTAGAAGTCTGACTTATATTGTTTCCCTTGATGCCCACAGTATACGGATGAAAAATAAGTTGCATACATGTTACAAATTTTAGTATCGTCACTTGCAGTATTTATTTCGTCAGACATCGCGGTCGGATAAATACTTTGCCCATCTTAAAAAAAAATATGCCCAAAAATATTTTGGATTATCTGCTATAGCATTTTCGACAAACACGATATATGAATTGTAGCAAGCTAAAGATCGCACTTTTTCTTTTTCTTTCAATAGTTTAATGAGATCTATACTTAACCAAATAGAGTATCTTTTTCTTTTCAATTTTATCTTAGATACAAATTTTTAAATCGGCTCCCGTAAAATTGTGTAAAATATATCTTACCGTCATACCATCTTATTGACATTTTCGCAGCCCGTGAATAATTTTGGCCAATCCTGTTCACTAAGGTAGCTGTTGATCTTAGTGTAGTTACGAAAATTAGATCGTGCGGCATTAGTCGCTTCTGTTGTCTTTTTCTTGGAATTGAGTTCAAGATAAATATTTAAGGGTAGATGAAAGGATCTACTTGAACAAAAGGCACTGCAGCCTCAAATACATGACAAGGAAGACCATTGGACAAAACGAGATCAAGGGTTTTACCCTGATGATTATATACAAAATTATACTGTTTGATATGAGCTACATTTGCAAAATCTATTAATATTTCCTCCGTGTTTGAAACATTACTACTAATCTTTTTACTTTACATCTCGTTGACTAGATAGATGTGCACAATCCGCTGCGTCACTAGAAACCTTTAATAATAAGGGCATCGACCAATAGTAAGGGGGACAAACTATTTTTAACAACACATCTTTTTTTAACAACAATTGTGTATTCGGTACAACGTGTCCTGAACTACGCAACAAAATTTTCACTATCTTTAAATAAAATTTTCACGGAAGATTTATAATTATATGAAGAAAGTCAATGTATATAATACAAGCTAGAGAACAAAAACTATACACCGAAGCGAAGCGAGGGCGAGCCACTAGTACTTATTAGTTTTTCAGGGCGGTTTCCGCACTTAGTCCTAATTATTGGACCATTGTGCGTATCTCATAAACATTCCCGCTTTCTCCAGCCAGCCTTTATCGGTCCAGAAGGAAAGCAGCCTTGATAGACTGCTGCAAGCTTCCGGAAACGATTCTGGTGACTGGAGAAGTCGTGCCCGTTGGTCGGCCACACTCCTGCATTCCATGATGACATGCTGTGGCGTTTCTTCTGCCTCCATGCATCCTCTGCATAGGGGGCTGTCTGTAACCCCCATTGTATATAGGTGTTTGTTCAGGGGACAATGACCAGTCAGGGATCCTATAATCCTGCGAAGTTTGTCCCTATTTAGTCTGGTAAGGGTGCGGGCAAAACTTTTATTTACCGCCGGAACCGCGTTTTTCGTTTGCCGGCATCCTTCACCTGTTTTCCACTCCATCAAGTGTGATTTATGAGTTATTTCACGCAGCCACGTTTTAATTTGGGCCTGAGGTATGGGCAGCAAAGGCTCCGGACCGTACATCTTTGTGTCTGCTCCC